AGTTAGCGTGCGTGTATTTGTGTTTAATTAAGTTTGGAATAAACAGCATGCGTGTTTCTTACTATAATTGTAAACTATAATTGTTATTATTTCCGATCATGCGGGTGTGAAGGTGCTTAAAATATCACGTGATGATCGGTATTCTGTACTGTTTAAGAGAATGGCAAAGAAAAAAAAAAACATGATTTTTCGTTATAATTATAGATCTAGTTTTGTATATTTGTGCTTGTGTTGCTGGTTTCAAGTAGCATTTCAAATTTTCAATGTGTTTCATGCTTATATTAAAGTTTTACTCATGATCAAGTTAAAAGAAGAATATGAGAAAGCGAAAAGTTGTGATAAATTGCATGGCCTCCAAAAGCGTTGTAGCTTTCATTTGGAAACACGCGTGAAATTCACATTCCAAGAGAATATATCTACAAACATTCAACAAATAAGAATTCCATTCCGCGTGATGTGCCTAAAACAAGTTGCGCTTAGTTTTCATTGGCCTAAAGAAAAGATGGAGAATATATTGAGAATGTATTCGAACATTGAAAAAACGCGTTTTTACACTTTGAAATCGGATTTTGATCATGCCATGTGGTGTGGATTATGAGTAAGGTTATTATTTGTAGGTTATTTTCTTTTGTCTAACTAGGCTAAGCTTTAAGATTGTATAGGTTATTTGTAACTCACCCTTTTTACTCATGAACTCGAACAAAGAAAAAAGTTTGTTAGAATTCCGGTACGCCTAATGTGCCTAAACCAATGGAAAACATATAGAGAATGTTCATTAAACACAATNAAAAAAAAAAACGTGCTATTTTACTTTCGGATGAACATTTGAGCATTCTTGTGGTGTGGATTGCGAAGTATTCATAATTCTAAAAACACAAGAAGAGTTCTTTCCTAATTAAGCTATGATGGTCTCTAAATTTTTCACCTTCATATAAAAATGATTTACTCTGCCTAAAAACAGAGCAAATAAAAAGAAGAAAAAAACAAAAGCTTCCTCAAAACTGATCAAATCTACTGATTATCTTATCTCAGTCTGTTGGTATATCTTCTGCAGTGAACCTTCTAGAAGAAGACACCCTGTTGAACAATCTCCTCAAGCTATTTCTACTTTCTTTTCCCCTTCTTCCGAATAACACCTTTTCGGGCCCGTCCGAAAACGGGTACTCGTCCATCACGAGGCCCGTTTCAAGCTTCTTCGAAACGGACACAATTTCGTAAGAGTCCCATAAAGACTGACCGAAATCCCATCCGGTGGGCCCACAAGAATCTTTTTTCCCGCCATAAAAAGAGGCCTCGGTTTTGAATCGGGAGGGCCTTTTCTTGAAGAACTGGCGACGAGCATCGAATTCCGAGGCAGGTTTTGCCGGTTTCGAGCTGGCAGAGTGGCCGTGCCATGCTTGTGCCACGGCCTTGAGGATTTCAGTGTCATGTTCATCTCTTTCTTGATTAATCAGTTGTNATGTATGGAGTACCTTTACTCATAATTGCGAAAAATTTTGTACGTTTACTCCTATTTCAACCTTCTGAGTTGTATGAGGATTTCGAGGAATTCCAAAAGGAGCAATATGTTTTGTGTAGTTTTTTCGGTCTTCCATTCGAAGATGAGAGACTTTTCCTATCTTCTTTGTATGACGGTATTCAGATACAAATAATTATGCCTTTCCGTTTGCGACCTTGGAACACAGGATTACAGCGCCAGGACAAAGAAAATATTTGTTATTTAACAGTTTATGGAAAGGAAACCGACTTTCCTTTTGGTTGGCCCCGAAGAAACTATTCCTTTTTTCGACCCATTTTTCCCATATTAGAAAAAAAATGGAAAAAAATTTCGAAAAAGCCGTATTTTCTAGCTCTAAGAATTTTCAAAAGAAAAATAAAACCACTTTTAAAACCAATATTATTTCGATTAAGAAAAGTTTTCAAAATAAAAAAATTTAAAAAAGTTGAATTGAGCAAATTGAAAGAAAAAAAGGCTTCCCTAATCAACAATCAGATAACTCACGAATCGTTTAATCAAATTGAATCTTCGATAAATTCTTTATTGCTAAAAAAAATGAAGGATTCGACTGATCAAACAAATACAATTCGAAATCAAATTCAAATAGAAAGAATCTCAAAAGAGAACGAAAAAGGAACTCCAAGAATAAATAATCTTAGTAGTGTTAAAAAAACAAATTTGAATGTTCAAATATTCGAAAAATGGAAAGTATTAAAAAGACAAAATGCTCGAAGAATTTGTAAATTACCCCTTTTTTGGAATTTTTCATTGAAAGATATACCCAGATATCTTTTTAGATAGCATTCAAAATTTGAAAATGAAGACATAAATTTTTCTTGAATTAATAAAAGAAAGTCTTATTATAGGTTGGAAGAGAAAAAGAGATACAACTAAAATATGATGATTATAAATGAATGTAAATTCATGTATTTGAAGATGTTTGTATCTTTTATCTCTCCTAAAATTGCACAATATTGACAGGAAGGAAAACACCTAAACCAAATTAATACCTCAACCAAATTTCTTGTGCCAATACCCTATGTTAGGTACAGTTTGAGTAGGGGCCAGATCAACCTTCTTGAAAATAAATTGACACAAGATACTTTTCAACATTTAGGGTGAAAAAACACTGCAATTTCATAATTTTACTAGTCATAACTCGTATATAATTCTTTATATTAAGAAATCTCCTTTAACTATTCAATGAATGAATATAGTGAAAAGAAAAAAGAAAATTATATGTAGCAAGAAAATTGTAAAATTTGTCTATTGTATTGATTGATTGGCAACTTCGGTCCTAACTTATGCAAAATTTAGCATACGATTGAGTGGATGATCGGTTGAAAACCTTTCATGCTTGACACATGCAGCACATGTAAATCGTTTTCCGCTGTTAACCTGGAAAAATTCTTGCTTAAAATGCCGATAAAATGCACCTTAATGCTGATAACCTTGTATGCGTAAACTTGAAAACACAACTCCGAGACTTTTGTCGGACTAAATCAATAAAAATCTCTTTTCTTTGGTTTTGTGATATATGCACTTCAATAGCAGAACCAAAAAAGAGCACGAACCGTGTCATGTTTACAAATATCATGCGAACAAATGTGGAGCAAATCTTTAGCCTCAAAATATCTACCTTCATCGATAAAGAACTTGAACACAAACCATTAAGCCGAAACTGCAGAACATTCCTGAAACTCGAGGCACTAAAGGACTACTCATCAGCAACATGCCAACATATATCCTCAAATGCCCTGAAGTAGAAAATGTACTGAACAGAAGGCTCTGGAAAGCTCCATGGCCTTTTTCGAATTTCCTCTCTATCAAAAGCTTTTGAATCAAATGCTTATGAGTCAGATTGCCAAGCCACAAAGCTTTTGATCCAACTCAAATAGCAACCAACACCACAAGCACAATTTTTATTCAAAGACCATAAATTTTCATATTCCCCAATCAGCCCTCAATCAGTTCTTGAGTTTTTAAGCACATGAACAATTCCTTTTACTCTATCCTCCTTACGACCACAAATTCTCAAAATCAAGCCGCAAATAGACAAATTGGGCTCGAATTCATTTTTGTCTACAGCCTACTTGACGAAAAATAAGACCCTTTTGGTGGGGTTTTGCTCAGTTTCTTCAGCACATACACAACGGTTTAACAAGGGTTATGTCCAGATTTGAGCCTTTTTAGTTCATTATCTAGCTAATTATCCCAATTATTGGAAGAAAATACATCTAAAAAGAAGAGTCTTTTTTTTTTTTTTTTGGTACAATGAACCTTCCGGTTTGCGAATCCCCTAGGGGACCGACTAATCCGGAATCGAGCCGGGTATGATCACAAGGGCGGCAAAGCTCTACCTCAAGAGTTTTAACACAGCTGCATTCCCAGGGCTCGAACTCGAGACCTCTGGTTAAGCTGGGAGAGACCCCAACCATCTCACCCACGTGCTCTTGGGTAAAAAAGAAGAGTCTTTGATTGTGGGCGTTGGGCTAAATCGAAGTTGGGTTTTAGCCGAGGAAAGGGTGGAGAAATGAACGAGATGAGTCACCTGAGCCGAGAAGAACGAGTTAACGAGTCAACAGTAATGGAAATCTGTAAATTATATTTATTTTTGGGAAAATCTCAAAATGGTTTCTATTAAATTATGATTTGAGTTATATTGAAAAATGTATTAAAATTGAAAACAATAAAATTGATATTGATGGCTGATTTATTAAATTTATTTTCTTGTTATTTTTAAATAATACTAGGAATGTTAAATTTGGTAGGGATATATAATAATAATAATAATAATAATAATAATAAGGAGAAGAAGAAGAAGTTAATAACTAGTATAACATTCACAATATCATAATATTTTTCAATCAAATTAGTTAAACTCGTGTGTGCTATTGTTTATCAATAATAATTTTTTTTATGATATAAGTAATATAAATTTACTTTTAATATTAATGTTAAGCAGTTATATATGAAAAAGGCGCCAAACAAATTTATACATAATTTTTTATTTACTTTTTTATGATAGATTAAATTTATGCATAACACATATGATTACAAAGTACAAAAGGATGATATGAAGATTTAGAATACTGTTTGANTACTGTTTGAAAAAAAAAAAAAAGAATTAGAATACTATGTATAAGAGGGATATGTGGCAAATATGTATGAATTTATTTCAATAAACTCACATTGCTAAACTTGTGAAAAAATATTAATGAACCAAAAATAATTGTGGTTTTTAATACTCGTATGATTCATATTTTCTCCCAAAATTTTAATAGTTCTGGAGCTCGGTATATATATATTTAACAAAATATATTTAATTTGGTAATGGATCAAATTAGATTTAGGGTTTGTAAATGAGTCAAGTGGCTCTCAAATGCTTGGGTATGATGAACTCAAGTCAATCTTGAGCTTTTATTTACAAGTTCTGAGTGTTGGACGATCTATTTTAGTATAAATGTAATTTACATGACTATATATAATTTGAGTTCAATTCAAGTCAAACTAAAAAAAATATATTTTAATAGAAATTTTTATTTAAAATTCAATTAACTAGATCGAAATTTGAACTCATAAAATTTGAACAGATCTTGGGAATTTGTTTATATTTGTTCAATCGATTCGAACTTTAAAAAGTTGAGCTCAGTTTCGAGCAACATTTTGATAAAAAAAATAAATAAATAATGATTCTACCTCAATTAGGCCAATGGAACCCAACTTGTTTGACACTTAAAATAAAATAGTGATTTGATTTCAAACATGTATATAAAAATAGAGCAACTACCCTAATCTTCACCAATAAAATTGTGGAAAAGAAAAGAACAAGGATTCAATCTCCAAATTATCAATCATAAAACTACAAATAATTTATATTTTATTTTCTTTTCTTTATTCCTTCTCTATTTTGGTGATTGAAACTACACTATAAAATTGTCAAGGACCCAAAATTAGTCCAACACCCCAAAAAAAAGTAGAAATATTTTGGAGGGTGCACTAGAATTGTCTTCCACGCGACGTATCCCATTTGTTTTATTATTGTTTTATTTATTTATTTAAATTGTTAATACTTTGGTCCATGGAAGCACTTTATATAAGCAAAGGCGTGCTATGAAAGAGCCTTTGCTTTTTTAGTGTTTTTAACTTTTTTTTTTTACCCCATAAACGTGGCTTTCTATATGAAAAAGAGAGAAAAAAAAAAGAAGAAGAAGAAGAAAGAAATTGGAGAACGAAAAAGGTCCTTCCAAAGTGGGGAAGTGGGGATTCGCTGTTTTGGACGTTGGGTCGTATCGTGGTCCCTTACGCAATGACCGTTGGATCGAAAGATATATACAACTGTTATACAATTGGGATCAGGATAACAATCTGTACCCGATGAATTTTATTTTATATTATTATAAATTTAAGAATGCTCTAAAGCCTCTAATATCGTAATTATGTTAATTAATTTCACGAATTACCTTAGTTAAATATTTGTGAATTGGATTTTTTTGTCAAAAGTGAGAGTTTATTTCATTAAAATTTTGAATACAAAAAAAGATCTTGAAAATATTTATTTCATCTCTCTATTTTTCTACAATTATGCTAATACAGTTAACATATAAAGTCAATTATAATTATGTATCTTTTGAAAATAGTGTTCATCCACTACAATATTTATAACTACAAATCATTACTAGTTAATGTTATATAATATTTATGTAACGCATATTAATCAGCTCTGATCATTATGTGTACAATCTAGAAAATTATAATTTCTCATATAAGATTTTGATACAATTGCTATATATATGTGTACTTTCACGAAAATTATCATTAAACAGTTATAACTGTTAGTCAATCATACATTTTCAATAAACATACATACTTTAATGTATAAGTTACATTACATGCTTATAAAAACAAATAAAAAAATATAACATTTGAGTATAAATAAACATTTTTGTTCAAAGAGTATCCATCTAATCAAGTGTTTTTTTTTTCTTTTCCTCGAGGGGAAAAATTCATTCAAACAAAACATTTAGAGCATCTTCAATGTGACTTTTGACATGATAAAATATCATTTATATTATCAACTAATTGAAAGTGTGGTACTATTTTTTTCTCCAATGCATCTTGTCAAGAACTCTTTCATAATGAGGTGGATGTCATTTAATGTTGACAATGTTGAATGAAACTAGAAAGTATGCTTCTAATATGTAACACCATGTTAAACATGATGACTCATCAATTTACTTTATATTTGTTTTAGTTTTTTATTATTCTTGTATCAATGAATTATTTAATTGGTCCACTTATACAAATAACTTCTTATCAAATTTATGCATTTGAGATACTAGTTTCATTCAAATTTTTAGTCTTTTAACATTATTCCAATGTGGATTAACATTACAATCACTAATTGACATGTGTTAAAAATAATGGTCTTTCAAATTCATAGCATTGGAGATGCTCTTATAACACCTATGTCATTGGTGACAAATTATAAATCATTTTCCAATTATTCCTTTTCAAATTCATTTATTTGTATAGGATTATCTTGTTGAAAGTTTATTTCGAGAATTTACCCAACACAGTGACCAGCATGTTACTATGATTCTACAACCCAAGCTTAATTAAATGGAATAAAGCGTGCCTTAGATTTATTAATTTATTGATTAACTTAGTGGTTATTGCTAACTTCTCGTGATTTTTTTGGACATATGTATTGCCTTTTTTCACCGAATTCCTTCAATTTCAAATAATGATTATATAAAAGTCAGTTTTGTTATGAAGCCAACAGTTGACTCCATAGTAGAGACAACCTTCTACATACAACAAGTAAATCATATCATATTCTCTGATTACTTAAATAAATACTAATAATTCTATTAAAATGGTATGTTTGCTTGTTGTATATATAGAAGTTTAACTCCACTATGAAGCCAACTGTTGACTTCATAGCAAAACTGATATTATTGAATAAAAGCATCTACAATGCATTGAGTCTAGTCTTGCCCACATGACATGAAAATAAGCTCAAGTCTTAGATGACATGAATAAAACTATGTAAAATTAACAAATTTCACTCCAAATGAGGGAGACTAGATCTCTACTTGGGTCTAAAATAGACTCAAGGATAGACCGGGTCTCTTTTTCTGGCTACCACATTAGCAGGACCCAGTCTACTTTTACTTGCATTGGAAAATTTATTTGTTTAGACTAGGTCTATTTCTTATGTGGCATATAATTTTGTGTGATTAAACTCAAAGGATTATGGATGCTCTAAGTATCATAAGATTGACACTTGGCTGAACATATTTTAATTAATTTATCCACGGTGTTAGGTGGTCAGTTTTGTCTCTAAAATTACTTTGCTCCATCTTTAACTATTTCTTAATTTCTTCAATAAAGCAACCCTACAAGAAAATGATGAAATTCCAACGGAAATATATTCCAATAGAATTATTCCAACAGCAATTCAAATGGATATTTCAATGCTATTATTTTCGTTGGAATTTTTCAATGAATTCCAACGGAAATGAGTTTTCTATTGGAATTTCCGTTGGATTTTGACGATTCCAACGGTAGATTTTCCAACGGAGGTGGAAATAAAAATTCCAACGGAAATTGTATATTCCAACAGTAAAAAACTGTTGGAAATATAACCGTTGGAATCATCAAATTCCATCTAAAATTTCAATGAAAAATGCATTCAAACGGAATATTTCCGTTGCTGGAATCATTCCAACAGAAGTTATACCATTGGAATATCTGTTGAAATTTCCATTGAAATATATTATTGTAGGATTTTCCGTTGGAATATAACAATTTTTCACTATAATATTACTAAAATCAACTATTCATATTTTGCTAACATATAATATTACTAAAATAAGTGATTCAAACTTTGCTAACATATACAATAATATTACTAAAATGAACGATTCAAATTTTGCTAAGTTTCGGTAAATTCAAATTTTGCTAACATATAGAATAATATTACTAAAATCAATTATTCAAATTTTGCTAACATATACAATAACATTAATAAAATGAACGATTCAAATTTTGCTATGATTCGGTAACCAGTTGGTAAACTAGTCT